CTCTGGAAACTTTATGTATGAACAGTGCTCGGGTCTTTCATTCATAGTTTCACTATGAGTCGTCTATGACTGGATGGCACCTAACAACAACAATAACATGGTGGGAGGTATTGATCAGGTTTAATATTGGAAGCAGGAGTGGCATCCACTTCCTAAATAACATGTCTTCAGAAACTCTATGAACTTTGACAAATGCTGATATTTGTAGAGGGGCTTCAAGCCTTTTGTTCATAGGGTCGCTAGGAGTTGTGCTTGACTTGAAGTCAATCAACAACAATAGTGTGAGGTATGGATCAGGTTTATTATTTTCTGCAAATGATTACAGAGTTTTGCTAATATCATTTGTTTCTTATTCACTGACTGGACTTAGGCCCCCTTGTTGAAGATCATCGACCCATAGGTGGATGAATTTAACTCTATTTTCTCAAGTCCAATTCATTAATCAAGGTGTCAGTCACTGAACCCATACTAGGATGTTCTGATTACTCTACACAAAGTGCTGAGAGTGGGAAATGGGAGGCCTCCTACTTTTTTGTTGTTTGTTTGGTTTTTTTTTCCCATTTCATTAAATATTTGAGATTTGGATCAGGACTATAATGTATCAACAGATCACTTTGGGGAGAAGTAAGTTACATTTTCACAATGTTATGTCTTCCAAGCAATGAACATGGAATATTTTTCCATCTATGTAGGGATCTTTTGGCATCTTGCAATAGTGTTTTGTAGTTTTCCTTGCATAAATCTTTAATATCCCCAGTAGGATTACTCCTAGGTATTTTCATTTTTTGGAATTGTTATAAATGATATTATCATTTTGTTCCTGTTATAAATGATATTGTTTCCTTTTCAAAGTTCTTGTTAATGTTGTTATTGTTAGGTCCCAGAGAATCAACCACAATGCAATGTTGTTGCGTACCCCCGAGTTGGAACTGACCCAAAGCTGACCCTCCAGTGGGTTTTCAGAGGCAGTTAATCTTATGGGAGGAGACTGCCCATCCTCCTCTCATGGAGCAGCTGGTGGATTCAAACCATGTGCCTCTGGGGTTGCAGCACAACTTCTTATCACTAGGCTACCAGACAGAGCTATGCACCACAATGCATAGTTATCGTATGAACAAGAGATTGGAACATTTCCCTATCCTGAACCATGCCCATGATTTTTGGCAAGCTCAAGCTCATAGTTAAAGTTATTGGGTCAATCCATCTCCTTTCTCAAGAACAGATGGGAGACCTTCTCTCTCGTTAGTATGCTGTTGTTGTTGTTGTTGTGTACTGCATAGTTGGAACTAACTCATAGCTGACCCTCCAGCAGGTTTTCAGGGGCAGTTAATTGAATGGGAAGAGATTGTCCATTCTTCTTTTGTGGAGCAGCTAGTGGCCACGAACCATGTGCTTTCGGGTTTGAAGTTCTTGACACTAGGCCACCAGAGCTCCCTCTTGTTAGTATAGAGGTATACAATTGATTTTTCTGTGTTGATATTGTACCTAATATTTTTCGAATCCTTCTATTAGTTCCAAAAACTTTGTTGTGGAGTCTCTAGGATTTTATAAGTATAAAATCATGTCATCTATTAATAGCAATACAGGCCTGGTTTAAATTGGTTTTTTTTTTTGTCAAATATTCTTCTAAGTGGTGTAGCACTGGTCTGTGCATTGCTATACAGAGGTAACTTGTGGTTGCTGTGATGCTGAACACTGTGACACTGATGTGCCAAGTGTGATAATAGGTACCATTGATGGACAGTGTTTGGTGGAGCTTCACAATTAAAACAAGCTTGGAAGCAGGAGTGACATACACTTCCAAAATGGCTTGCCTCTGGAAACTCTATGAACATGGAGAAACAACAAGTTATACAAGTGTTCAGGTCTTTCGTTCCTAGGGTCGCTATGAGTTGTCTCTGACTCAATGACACTTAACAACAACAACATTTACTTATACTTATCCCATTTAGATATCCTTTATTTACCTTTATTGCCTTATTACTCTAGGACTTAGAGTATACAAATCAGTAACAGTGGCAATAATAGTTATCCTTGTCTTGTTCCCATCCTCAGACGTAATGCTTCCAATCTCCCTTTGTTGAGAATAATGTAGACTTTGCACTAGAGTTCAGTTCTAACTCATAGTGACCCCATCTGTACAGGTGAACAAAATACTGCCTGGTCCTGCACCAGCCTCAACATTATCATCACTCTTAGCCCATCATTGCAGCCACTGTGTGGGCAAACCACCTCACATGTGCCCTGATTGTGTTGAGGACCTTCTCATCTACTCTTATTTGAGGACAGGTTGTCTTTTGTATTTCTGATCAGAAAAAGGAGTTGAAGATTATAAAAGGCCTCTTCTTTATCAATTGAGATAATCATGTAATTCTTTTTCTTTATTTATGTAGTGAATAGCATTGATTGATTTTCTAATGTTGAGCCACTTTTGCATCTCTTGTATGAATGTCACTTGTTCATTATTTGATTTGATTTTCAGAGAGGCTGCTAAATTCTGTTGGCTAGATAGGTTAAAGTATTCAGATTGAATTTGAAGTTAGATTATTAGTTACTGGAGTAGTGACATAGCTGAACTCCATTTAAAAAAAAAATCAACTGCACTGACATGAGTGGATGAGTAGACTTCGTGGGTTATGGATGAGGTTAGGCAATAGAGGAGAGAAATACTGGTAGCCTGAATCAGCATCATGAGAAGTGGTAGGATTTGAAATGGATTTAAGAAAAAAGAGCCAACACAATTTGCTGTGGATTAGATGTGAGTTGTAAGAAAGAGATCCAAAGTGAAGGGCAATTCCAAGACTTGGCTGAGACAATGAAAAAACAGATGTATAAATACTGAGATGCAATTTAGAGCGTAAATTTTGTAAATAATCAACTTTGAGTTTCAGGGGGATTGTTGTTGTTGTTGTTATGTGCCGTCGAGTCGCTTGCGACTCATAGTGACCCTATATACAACAGCCCTAAACTCCGCTCTGTCCTGTGCCAATCGCACTGTCTCTGACACTCCCATCCCAATTATCCCAGTCACTGAATCAATCCACCTCCTAGAGGGCCTTCCTCTCCTGCACTGTCCCTCCACCCTCCCACGCATGATGTCCCTCTCCAAGGACCGGTCTCTCCTCACAACATGTCCAAAGTATGTTAGACGGAGCCTCAGAATACTTGCCTCCAAGGAGCCACCCGGTTTAACCCTTTCCAGGACATATCTGTTTGTTTTCCTAGCAGTCCATGGTATTCTCAATACTCTTCTCCAGCACCATAGCTTAAAGGCATCAATTCTCCTTCTATCCTCCTTGGCCATTGTCCAACTTTCTGATGCATAACAAGTGATTCAGGGGGATGGAGGGTGTAAATCTGTACCTAAGCTTAGATTTTTTAAATGGAAAAATCTAATTTCATAAAAAATTAGGTTATTGCCATTCATTCCATTCCAACACAATTATCCTTTTCTTCTTCCTAAGAAAACTCTGGGTGTAAGTCTAATCCTATAAGGGAGACTGTGATTAATTAAGCCAACTATGCTAAGTTTGTTTCCCACTTTTTTAACCTCCCTTGCAGCAAGGCGAGTCAATCAGTTGTGAGCTGCTGTTGAATTGATTCCAATTTATGAGTACCTCAAATGTACCAAGTTCACGGCCCCATAAGGTGCTCATGACCATGACCTTTCAGGAGCAGAACTCCAAGTCAGCTTTCCAAGGACTTATGGGGTATGTTCAAAATTCCATTCTTTCAGTTAGTGGTTGAGTATATAACTGAGGTTAGTGAAATTCTGGCTAAAGAAACAAGGGAGATAAACTTGTAGAAACACTTCAGAGTTTCTTATAAAATGAGAAAGAGCAAATGATATATATTGCTCCCTTTCTTCCTTGTCTGAATCTGAAGCTACAGCATCCTTTTACTGACTGAGAACCAGCATGATTGAGGGCAAATGTCCAAGTGCTAGGTATAGAGAAAGTTACAAAGAAGCTGGTATCCAGGCACTAATCATTGGAATCAGCATTGATCATTAACTACATTTGCAATTTTGGCAGTACGTAAAAAAGAAATCACCATTTGTTTAAACCACTTATCTAGTGGTAAGAAATTGCACTCTGCAATCCCAAAGGTACACGGTTCAAGTCCACTAGCTACTCTGTGGAAGAAAAATGGGGGATCTCCTCTCGTGCGATTTACTGCCTCTGAAAGCCTGCTGGAGGGTTATTATGGGGTGATTTCCAACTCGACGGCACACAACAACAATGTCATCATCTACAGTAAAAGAAACTTTTAATAATAAAACTATATATTTATAGGAAGCACTTTTAAAAACCAACATTTTTATTAAGATATAATTCATATGAAGAAGAAGCATGAGCAATCTCTTCCTGTGTGATTAACTGCCTCTGAAAACCCACTATAGGGTCAGCTGTGGTCAGTTCCAACTCAGTGGTACACAACAACAATTCATATACCATGAAGTTAACTTTTAAAGTGTTCACATCAGTGGTTTTGGGTATATTCATAGAGTTGAATAATTACAATCACTAATGGTAGAATATTTTCCTCACTTCAAAAAGAACCCATGACATTTGTAATTACACCTCATCTTTCTCTATCTTGTGCAACTCCTGGCCACCAAGAATCTACTTTTGGTCTCTACAGATATCCAATCCTGAAATTTCATATTAATACAATCATAAGATAGATATAATTCTGTATCTGCATAAATATGATCCAGTCATTAGATATTGAGTCTGTTTACACAAAATTATAGACAACTTAGGAGAGAAATAGTGGGATCTTGAAAAACATAATTAACTTTATTAAGCTCACTTAATTGGACATGTAAGAATATGTTGAAATTGAAAGCATGTGTTGTTACATATATGCTTACTACATTGTTTTAAAACAATACTATTAACATTTAAACATTTAAAAAATGTTAATACAAATTACACTCTGCAATCCCAAAGGTACACGGTTCAATTTGGGAATTTGGGAAGAAAAGGTTTACTTGCCTCAAGTTCCTTGACCAATTTGTTAGCTAGTTGAATGGTTTTGTTGGTTTGGTTCACCTCTTCTTGACATCGGACTTTCTCAGCTATTGCTTTTTCAAATGAAGCTGTGAGTTTGCTCAAATTGCGATCCAGATCCTGAACAAGATTAGAAATTAACTTTTAAGTCACTTTTAAAGTTAAAAAAGAAATTTTTGTTATTGTCTTTCCCTCCTCTGACCTTGACTCCTTGTCCCATATGTACTTTAGGGAAGAAGTTGTTTCCCTCCCTGATATTCTACTCGACAAAAGAGACACAGTGACTGGGGAGAGTGGACATGTCTTGCTGACTCAAAAATTCTCATTATACCCTGTGTCCCTCAGTTTCTTGCCTGAGGCTTATTCTCTATGACAAACATTATTAGCAACAAGGATGATCTTCTGATTCTCCAGCTACTGATTCTTTTCTTCTTTAGCTCATGCAATGGATAAATGTGTTAATCACTGCACTCCTTTAAACTTCAGCATTATGATCCTGCTAGGTCAATCATATTATCTCTGGGAATTTGTAATTAAAACTCCAAGGTCTTTAGTATCAATAGATTCAGGAGGATGTGTTAGTTTAAGAGGACTTAATTTAGAGGGAGCCAACTTCTGCCAGAAGCACAGGAAAGCAGAGGAAACCAGTCTGGAAAAAGAGAAATGTGCTCCATTTAAGCAGTGTCTATCCAGGGGGCTTTGAAGGCAGCTCTCTCTACGCAGCCTTCAGGAGAAATAGCATAAAAAATTATTACATAACTTAGGAGAGACTGGAGAGCATTATGTTGAGTGAACTATGTCTAAAATGAGCAAACGCTGTTCATATGATAATAAATAATAAGATCATTACTATAAAAATAGAAAAACAACTTATAAAACTTATATGAAGATCCAAATAGGGGAAGGTGGGTTCAGAGGATGGACGGGGTTAAGTATGGGGGCCACACAATTTGGCGGGTGGGGGGAGATGGTAAAGGAAATGGGAAAGATCTGGTGGGGACCTGAAAAAAAATGTGATAATGGTGGACACAGTTCAATGATGATTATTTTTTACAGAACACAATGAATAGGAATGATTGTATGAAACACAATGTGGATGAAGGATAGTGTAAAACACAATGTATACAAACCTTGTAGACACACCAATATAAAATAAAAATAATTTAAAAAGAAAAATGATGTAAAGAGCATTCAAAGAGACTCTAGATGTGAGGTCACAGCCCTAGAGAAACAGAAGTTCAGAAGTTCTTGGTGGTTGTAGTTACTGGCTCTTTCCTCCAGAGGTAACATCATCCAAAGGTCCCCTGAGTCATCTTTGCCTCTTTTATGACTTAAGTTTTTAAGATGTGTTTCTATTTTTTAAAAATTATTTATATTTTAACAAAAACATACTTGTGCCCTCTCTGAGGCTCAAACTCAGGATCTTCCGATTATGAGACTGATGAGCTGCCTAATGTGCTAAGAATATACTTGTGTTTCTGTTTCTTAAAGTTAAGAGGCCTTCATCAATATATCAAATACTTGAGAGACTTCACGGTGACATTCTGTTATTGGTACGTTTGAACATCTCTGAACATGATTTACCACACTGTGGTTATGAATATGTTCAATGCTGCTAGAAACTTATTAAGCAAACATAGAACATAATCAATATACAAATTAGAGACTGTCAATATTTGAGTCAGCTATTTAATTATTACTTTTATATTTACATTGTTAAAATAATTCACGTTGTTAAAATAATACTTTTAATAAACACATTTGTCAACTTTAGGATTAACACAGATAATAAGATTAGATCTGTAGAACTCATAAGAGATATTATGTATCATAAGTTATATTAAGTAAATCATATTTAAAGGTCTATTTTTGAGTTATCAGTAATGCTGCTGCTGTTGTCACTATGCACTGTTGACTATAACTCATAGTGACCCTATGAACAAGAACTTTGAATCTTGCTTTATCCTGAGCCAATCTTACTGTCTCTGACACACCTGCCCCAATTGCCCTGTCACTATGTCAGTCCATCTCCTCCAGAGTCTTCCTCTCCTGTCCTGATCCTTCACCCTTCCAAGCATGATGTCCTTTTCCAAGGACTGGTCCCTCTTGGCAACATGCTCAAAGTAAGAGAGCTTCACAATCCTTGCCTCCAAGGGACAACCTGGTTCTACTCTCTCCTGGACAGACCTGTTTGTTTATTGACAGTCCATGGTATGTTCAATATTCTTCTCCAGCACCATAGCACCACAGTTCTGTCATCCATCCTTAGTCACTGTCCAGCTCTCCGATGTATAGCAAGTAATTGCAAAGACCATGGCTTAGATCAGGCATACCTCAGTAATTACATTAACATCATTGTTCTTCAGTACTCTGGAGAGGTCTCTGATAAGCTGACTTTCCTAAGTTGTCTTTTAAGTTTCTGACTGCTGGTGCCATGAGTATTGATTGTGGACCCAGACAAGATGAAATTCTGAACAACCTCAATCTCTTCTCCATCTATTAGGATGCTGCCAATTGGTCTGGTGGTAAGAATCTTTGTTTTCATGATGTTGAGGTACAATCCATACTGACGGTTGTTGTCCTTGACCTTCTGCAGCAAATACTTCAAATCCTCTTCTACTTCAGTGAACAAGGTTGTGTCATCTGCATGATAGACTGAATGAGTCTTCCTCCAACCCTGATGCCACATTCTTCTTCATAGAGTCTAGCATCCTAAATGTTCTGGTCTGCATATAGATTGGACAAGTATGGAAAAAGGATATACACTTGACTCACTCCTTCCTTGATGTTGAACCATGCCGTGCTTCCTTGCTCTGTTTGTATAACTCCTCCCTAGTTTAAGTTTTGCATGAATACACTCAAGGGTTCTTGAATTGCCATTCTTCTCAAGGTTAGCCACAATTTGTTGTGATACACATAGTCAAAACCCTTTGCAAAGTCAATAAAATACAAAATGATATTCTCTGGTTTTCATATGTGTTCAGAGAATGCAAACATTAATCAATAAATATAAATTCATGCTAAGTTTACATATGTTGGTAAAAAACAACTTGAAGAAACATGTAATTATCAAAATTCCTTTAAAATAAATAAGATGATGAGGTTTCCAAAATCTTTATTGGGAGTTCTTAATATCTTTGTTTCTTTCCCCTTGCTTTGGACACTATTCAAGAAAAGAAGAGAAATTACTGTCATTTTTCCTTTCTCACCTCCAATTCGCTCCTCTCTTTAAATCTAATTTCCATTACTATCAATTCTTTTTTTTTTGTTCTCCTGTACCATTTTACTAAAACATATCTAGAAAAGATCCCTAGTGAATTTGTTTTTATTCCCTCAATTTACTATCTGTCCCTTGCAAAATAACGCTAATTTAACAACTGACGATTATTGAACTTTCAGCAGGTGTCAGGTGCTGTCCCAAACAATTTCATGTGTTAACCACTTGGCAAGTCTAGGATCTTCCCCATAACAAATTTACTAGGAAAACACAGGGAAGCTCATAGGTGGAAAAGATAAAGACCTACATGCAGTTACCAAGGATTCTAGGGTGTTGTGGAAGCAGACATTGTTTGAAAGTCTTCAACTAGATGCTGTCTCTGGCATTTCATAATTCTGACTTTTCTGTCTTTTTTTTGTTTTACTTTCTGTCTTTTAGCCTTCTGCATAAGATTCACAGAGGGGGCTGGCACAGGTGACTTGCACTCAGTAGCTAATCGAGTTAGCAGTTCCGTCTCACCCAGTACTCCATGAAAGGCTGGGTGATCTGCTTCCATTCATATTAGGGCCACAGAAAACCCTGTGGAGGAGTCTGCTGCGACACATGGGGTCACCATGAGTTTGGGGTCAAGTCGACAGCAGTTAAAATTCAGCTCATAATTCAATTTCTGGAGATGGGGTCAGAGAAGCCAAGCGTGGGTCATATACCTAGTTATGAACTGGAAAGGACAGGGCACCTCTCTGAAGAGCCCCACCCAGCCTTTGCCCTCTATCAAGGCAGTAGAGACTACTTCCCAAAGAAAAATCCGATTCTTTTTAACCAAAGAAGACAGACTGCTTACTGTGGAGCCAGAAATCACTGATGCCCCCCTGAGAAGTAGTTGTTATCATCATTACTTTATAGACGTGACGCTGAAGCCCAGACTTTCTCTCATCTACCCAGGGCTATGCAGCCTCGTCAGCCTGACTGCACTACTCTACACAGCCTTGCAGGGACCTCAGACTCATCATTTCAATCCTTATTCCTCCTCCTCCAGTCCACCACCGAGTGTTGAGTAGATCCTACCTTCTTCTGGCCCCTTAGGGCAGGATGGTTTAATCGAGGCTGCACCCCCACCCCCACCTCTGCCTCCTAACTCCCTTTAAAACTTTCTGCTCTCCCTCTATTCCTCATTCAGAAAGAAAAGTCAGTTTGATCATGTCACGAGTCTATTAAAACCTTCCAAACGCTCTTTGTCACTAGTTAGATAAAATGTAAATCCTGCCATGTGTGTGGAAGCCCATAAAAAAATTTACTTATCTTTTCAAGTATCTCTTTCACTACTTCCTTCTGCTATTTCTAATCTTCCTCAAAATACATATGCTAGGGCTCTCACTGATGCAATTCACAAAATGTCTCAACTCCTTTCTTTTCCTTATCCTCTGCCCGAAATATCTTCTGCAATCTTGTTGCAGTGTTTTTAATTTCCTCAGGATCAGTGCTCTTTTCTTTTTTGGGACTTTCACTTCAATCTACATACAGTCAGGTTGGAGCTAAATTTAAATGTAGTTTATGTATTTGTAATAGTAATGTGATGATATATAAAGCTAATGTTTTCTAAGCATTTACTACGTTCCAGGCTCATGCTATGTTCTTAATCTTAATTACAAGTTGTTGTGTTGTTGCTGTTAGGTGCCGTCCAGTTGAGTATGACTCACAGTGACCCTGTGAAGAGCTGACGTGAGCCCTGCCCTATCAGGTGCCATCCTCATCATCTCTGACACACTAGAATCCAGCACTGAAATCACCATATCAATTCATTTGTTGAGAGTCTTTCTCTCCTTTGCTGACACACTATCTTTCCATGATAGAGCGTCCCTCTAAAAGGAGTAGCCTCCATGTCCAAAGTATGAAAGATGACACTTCACCATCCTTACTTCCAAGGACTCCTGTGGCTGCACTTTCCCAAGATATACTTGTTTGTTCTTTTGGCAGTCAGTAGAATATCAGCACTCTTCTCCAAAACCACAACTCAGAGGCATCAGTTTTCCTTCTGTCATTCTTATTCATTGTCCAGCTCTCTGAGGCAAAGCAGGTGACTGAGAAAACCATAGACTGAATGAGGTGTACCTTAGCCTTCACACTTACATCACTGCTCCTCAGCACTCTGGAGAGGCCCCTTACAGCTGACTTGCCTAGTGTAATACATCTCCGGATTTCCTGACTGTTAGTACCAACGGTGTAGATTGTTGATCCAAGCAAGATGAAATCATTGACACCTTCAATCCTTTCTCCACCTATTATAATGGTGGATTAGAGGTAGTCTCTGATTGGCAGCATAGGATGAACTGAGCTTAATGCTATCTTTTCAAAACACTTTCTCATTAGTAACATGTTGTTGCACGTAATTTGCTGATCATTTTTCTCATTCTCTAATGTGCAGGCTGCAAATACTCCGTTTCATGACAGTCCCTGTTGTATGTCAATGTGGCAGTGATCTTCAGCATGATGTCACTAACCTGTGTGATGTATTTCCTAGCCTTTATGCTGCTAATGAGGCGGAAGTAGAGGCAGTTATGAATGACACGCTCAGCCTGACCTCAGGAAGCAGAAGTCTCCTCAAGGGTGTGGCCTACACTGAACACATGTTTGTGCTTTCTAGCAAATAAAAGATCTTTTGTTCAGTCCTACTTTGGCTTATCACTTCTGGACTTGAACAACAGCCTGCTACACTTTTTAACCTGCGGTACTTGTCAGTCTCTGAAGACAGCAGTCTGTGATCCTGCCTAATAACGACTCGGACTCATTAGCTTCTCAGAAACCTCTCTTCCCACCCATGGATCTGGGACTAGTTAACCTCTATATGCGGAATACTCATTTCCTTAAAATTAGATAGGTACTTCATTGGTTTTGTTTCTCTAGACAATTTAAGACACTGTTAAAAACTGTTAGGTTTATAAAGGCATTGATAATGAAAGGGAAAATAATGTAAACAAAGAAACAAAAAAGATGAAGTATTCCGTTTATGCTAGAACTGACTTATGACGGAATCATCAGAACGGAACTCCATTGTAAGAGGGGAATTAACTGTACTCTCATTTAACCCATACAGTCCTACCTAAGAAGTGGATGCCATTATCAACCCATCTTCTTCTTGTTGTTGTTGATATGTGCCATCGAGTCACTTGCGACTCATATCTCTCCTTACAACATGTCCAAAGTATATTAGATGGAGCCTCAGAATCCTTGCCTCCAAGGAGCCACCCGGTTTAACCCTTTCCAGGACAAATCTGTTTGTTTTCCTAGCAGTCCATGGTATTCTCAATACTCTTCTTACACATGATAAAACAGAAGTTTAGAGAGGTTAACTAACTTGTACAGGTATCAAAAAGTAGATATTGGATCTAGTTTGTATTTCCTGTGTACTACATCTATCCTTTGATTACCAAGCTCAGTGTTTCTTTAGTGTTGAAATCGTGAATATTTCTACTTTTCCAATTTAGTGTGTAGTGTAAAACAGATAAGAAATCTCTGTTGCATGAGTATAGAGGTGACTGTGTGAATGAAACGTCCAATTCCTTTCTGTGTGGCAGGACTTTGATTTGGCTTTCTCCAAAGGTGAACTCTTAAGAAGGAGCCCACCTTTGAGAATATTATCATTGTCCCTTGGTACTTACCACAAGCTTTTTCCTGATGGCCTCAAGTTTTTCAGTAGCAGCAGCCAGTTCTAAGTTGGTGTGGGCTAAAGCTTGACGTTTTGGCTCTACATCACAGTAGACCTGAAAATACACATGGAGTTTAATTCCTTATAAAATGATGATACAAGCAAGACTCCCAGCCATTCAACTGCACATTTTCTTGAAGCTCCGCAATGAAAATCCTTAACTCACCTAGAAATATGCTGTTTCTTTGTGATGATGACTCTAACCAAACAATAGTGGAAAAATCTGCACAACTTTCTCAGTTCTCTCTGGTCATCAATAATACATATGTATATATTTATTCTGGGCATATGAGTACTTGTATAAAGAGCTGAGTGACTGATCAAAACCACAGAGATATGAAAATTGGTTTGTCAGGAAATGTAGGGATAATTCTGACAGTGCTAGAAATTGCAGGGTGCAGGAACTATAGCAAAAGCAGAGACCAAGTCTAGCCTTTACGGTGAAAAATAAGAAAGTGGAAAGAAATTCTCAGAAGACGGAAAGGTAAATATTAACTGCACTTGCATTTTCTTCTTCTAAACTCCTGTATGCCTTACGTTACTTGGTTGTGTGTTTTGATGATCTGAAGTGATTAGTTTTTCCCTCCTGGCAGGGAGTTGAGGAAGGAGATGAAATTAAATTTCCTGTTTCCTGACATGACAGCACAGAACAAAACCCTGGTCTGGTTCCATGATCATCTTTTCTTCTATGATACAGAGAGAACAGGGCAGAGACACTCCTTTTTGAGAGAGGCCATATACCCACTCCAGTCTGTCTAAACTCTTTTTTCCTCTTCTTCACTGAAGAGAGCGAGAGCAATCAACAGAGTCTTATTCCTGTGGGTCCAACAGCATAAAGGATTCGACTTTATAAAAAAAGACATCTTTTTGGAAATGACATTGAATATAAATAAATGGTTTTCCCCGCAGCAATTTCATATTTACATATCACATACAGGAGGAGCTGTGGTGGCAAAAGCAATTTGAAATTGATTGTGGACCCAAAGACTGAGGGTGCAAATCCACCCAATGGCTTGTGAAAGAAAGAGCTGGTGATCTGCTTCTTTAAAGATTACAGCCAAGAAAATCCTATGGAGCGCTTCTTCCCAGTAATACACAGGATGCCCATGACTCAGGACAACTGATGGCAGATAACAACAGCAAAGAGCATCCAACCTTGACCAATCCCTAGGCAAGTGCCAATCCCTAGACAAGAGAGCTCTGTAAAGTTAAAGGCTAGGGTCATGAATTTCTCTTTTGTTTGTTTTGATAATACTATTTGTCTATGCTTGATAGGTGATATTTAATGAATGAATGACTACATGAAATAATTGTTCTCCACACTGTTTCAAAGTGCAATTTTTTTATCAGACCATAAGTAGTAAAAAAAATGTCATAGGCAATTAAATGCTCTTGTTATTAGGTGTAAAGATCATTTTCAACTCACATTAACTCTATAGGACAGAGTCTGTATGTCATTGTTGTGGAGTCAGTGGCGACTCAAAGCTGACTCTCCAGCAGGTTTCCAGAGGCTGTACTTTGCATAGGAAGAGACTTCTCAGTTTTCTCTCATCAGAGTTGCTAGTGGATTCAAATCACCAAAGAGGTGGTATCTAGGGTAGCAGTGCAACTTGCTACATACCCCATGAGAGGTACGATGCCCTTATGGAGGTTTTTGTTGTTGTTGTCGTATTTATTTTCTTGACTATAATATAACAGATTTGTCCTGGAAAGGGTTAAACCAGGTGGCTCCTTGGAGACAAGGATTCTGAGGCTCCATATAACATACTTTGGACATGCTGTGAGGAGAGACCGGTCCTTGGAGAAGGACATCATGCTTGGGAGGGTGGAGGGACAGTGCAGGAGGGGAAGGCCCTTTATGAGGTGGATTGATTCAGTGACTGGGATAATCGGGATGGGAGTGTCAGAGACAGTGCGATTGGCACAGGACAGAGCGGAGTTTAGGGCTGTTGTACATGGGGTCGCTATGAGTCGCAAGCAACTCGACAGCACATAACAACAACAATATAATATAAGAAAGCACACTGCCAGGTCTTTCTCTCACTAAGCTGCTGGATAGATGGAATCAAACTGTCAGTAATTTAGACAGCAGTCCAGGGCTTAACTGTTTTACTCTTGGAGCCCCTGTCATTAAAAAGGAAAGCAAAGAAATAGTTCTCCCCTCATCTAAGCATACACTAAAGATGATGTGGATTTATACAGTAGGATTAGAGATTAAGTTCACTTGATAGGAAGTCAGGATCACAGTAAATTTTCATCTAAATCAAATTAATTGCTGCTAATTGACCACTAATCACTGTACCTTCAATAAAAGATACCATTTCCAACATCTCAAATATCCTTCCAAGTACAATTATTTTCTCTGATAATCTTATTCAGAAAACCAAACAGCAAAATTTCTTTTTTTCCTTTGCTGACGATATTCTTTGCTGAAAGTTGTTTATGGTACTCTCTGGATAAGACTCGTTAACCATAAGATTAGGACAGATACCTCATAGAATTTAATGATGTTGATGACCCAGGCACAGAGACCAGCAGCTGCAAAAGATTTGGTCCGAATCAGATTTGGATTGAATTCTGGGTTTTTCAAATACTGTTCATTCACCACTTTTAGACAGTTCTCCGGAATGTGTTCTTTGTCATAGTTAATTAATGCTTGCAAAAAATCATCAACCTGCAAAGCAAAAAAAGACTGATTGCAATGAACCCATTTTGGCTGCAGAGAAAATTCCAAGAGCAAAAGTGAAAATCAGCTTTTAGGACTTACATTACAAAGGCAAAATTGGCAAGCTGCATTTATCCTACTGTTTGACTTTTTCAGTCTCTATAGCATGAAGTTAGAATTAGCAATGGACACTTTTAAAATCTCTTCTATCCCAGGGAAAAATATTCAGTCCCTGCACAGGAGGTATTCACATTTTGAAGAAAAGCAGAAAAGAAAAAGAAAAACACATACCAGAGAGCCCTTTGCTTCACCTTCTCGTACATTAGCAACACTTTCCAGCATAAGAAATCCATGTAATTTTCTCCCTCCTACACTTAACTGCTTTCATAATTTTGCAAATAATTAGCAACCTTCCAACTGCTGCTGCTGTTGACTTAGATATGCCATAAGCCCAAACTAACCTCTAACTCGGCAAACAAAAAGTTCCAAATCTGGAGAACGTACTGCAGGTTACACTCAGTGAATACGAAGATGGTTTCTCTTGAAGAGACTACCTTTTTCCAGCAAATGTACCCACTTGTACTGAACATGGTCCTGAGATGCTCAGGATTTTCCCCTCCTCAGGTTGTCTGATACCTTTCCCATGAAGATTTTAGCTGCCTTCCAGCTTCGGTCTTTGGGCACTCTGCCCCTGGGAGCCAGAAGTACCATCACAGCCGCAGTGACATTGGTAACCGCGTTCGGCGGGTTGGGAAAGGCTTTCAACTCAGTCAGGTTGACCTGAAGAGATCACGAGACAGACATTCAGGATCAGGGCTGCCTCATGAGAAACTGTCAGGTTAGTTTTCAGTGCCTAACAACTTAACCTATTCACATCACTCTTGGTTTGACAGTTCTTCAACATCAGAGGACTTCAACATGGGAAGGAGGTTTAAGGTTTTGTTTATTATTACTAATTTTTAAAAAAAATTTGAGTGAAAATTTATAAACCATACGGTTTTGCCATATACTCATTCATTGTTGTTGTTGTTAGGTGCCGTCGAGTCGTATATGACTCATAGTGACCCTATGAATGAAAGACCTATATACTTGTATAACTTCCATCGTTTCTCCAAGTTCTTAGAGTTTATGGACGCAAGCTATTTCAGAAGTGGATGCCACTCCTGCTTCCAAGCTTGTTTTAACCGGAGAATTCCACCAAACACTGTCCACTATGGGTAACCATTCTTGTATTTGACACATCAGTGTCACAGTGTTCAGCATCATAGCAACTACAAGTTATCTCTGAACAGCAAATAGACTGACCAGTGCTATACCATTTAGAAGAATGTTTGACCAAAAACAATTAAAACCAGGCCTGAGCGCTGTAGATTAAAAAAATCACCCACCTTTGGCTTGGTAGCATCACTTTCTGTCCACTAGACCAACTGGGATCTCTATCACTCATTCATAAACATTTTATTTTCTATTTATTACCATGAATTTGTTGTTGTTTTGTTGTTGTTATGTGCCATTGAGTTGTTTGCGACTCATAGTGACCCCATGTACAACAGCCCTAAACCGTGCTCTATCCTGCGCCAATCTCATTGCCTCTGACACACCCATCCCGAGTACCCCAGTCACTGAATCAATCCACCTCATAGAGGGTCTTCCCCTCCTGCGCTGTCCCTCTACTCTACCCAGCATGATGTCCCTCTCTAAAGACCTGTCTCTCCTTACAACATGTCCAAAGTATGTCAGACGAAGCCCCAGAATCCTTGCCTCCAAGGAGCAGCCTGGTTTAATCCTCTCTACGATGAATCTGTTTGTTTTCTTGGCAGTCCATGGTACATTCAATACTCTTCTCCAGCACCACAGCTCAAAGGCATCAATTCTCCTTCTATCCTCCCTAGTCATTGTCCAACTCTCTGATGCATAACAAGTGACTGCAAAAACCATGGCCTGTATCAGGTGCACCTTAGTCTCCAGAGAGACAATGTTGCTCTTGCGTATTTTGGAGAGGCCCCTAACCGCAGACTTTCCCATTGCAATATGTTTTTTGATTTCCTGGCTACTAGTGCCTAGAGTGTTGACCGTGGAGCCGAGCAAACTAAAGCTGTGAACAATCTCAATCTCAATCTCTTTGCCATCCATCCTGATGCTACCGATTGGTCCACTGGTGAGAATTTTTGTCTTCTTGATATTGAGTCTCAGTCCATATTGAAGGCTGCAGTCCTTGACCCTCTGCAGTAAGTGTATGAGGTCCTCCTCAGTTTCAGCGAGCAAGGTTGTGTCAACTGTATAACGCAGATTGTTGATAGATCGTCCACCAATCCTAACGCCATGCCTCTCCTCATAGAGCCCCGCCTCTCGGATAATCTGTTCTGCATACAGGTTGAAAAAGTATGGAGACAGGACACATCCCTGACGTACACCCTTCCCAATTTTGAACCATGCAGTGTTGCCCTATTCTGTTCTGACAACTGCCTCTTGGTCCAAGTATAGGTTTTGCATTAGCACGATTAAATGTTCTGGGATTCCCATTCTTCTCAGAGTCAGCCACAGTTTGTTATGATCCATGTAGTCAAATGCCTTTGCATAATCAATGAAACACAGATAGACATTCTTCTGGTATTCTTTGCTTTCAGCTAAGATCCATCTAACATCAGCTACAATATCCCTAGTACCACGACCCCTTCTAAACCTAGCCTGGACTTCTGGCAGTTCTCTGCTGATGTACTGTTCCAGTAATTTTTGGATAATCTTCAGTAGAATCTTGCTTGCATGTGAAATCAATGATATTGTTCTGTAGTTTCCACACTCAGTTTGGTCGCCCTTCTTTGGGATGGGAACAAATATTGACCTCTTCCAGTCAGTTGGCCAAGTGGTTGTTCTCCAGATTTCTTGGCACAACTTGGTGAGCACATCCAGGGCAGCATCTGTTAGCTGAAATATGTCAATTGGTATACCATCTAGTTAATTATTTATCTGTACCTAATTATCTATCATCTGTTCTTTTAGATAAAACATGTCTGCCAGATACTGTACTAAAAGAGAGCTCTTAAATTAAGACAGACTAGGGGAAAAAAATGCTACCTACTTCTGAAATATCAGGCCTTCAAAGCCCTTATGAATAATAGAACACATTTAGATTATTAGATATAAGACTGCAAGCTGAGCCCTTGGGAAACACAAAAATGAGAAGGAATAGTTGCAAACAGTCACTAATAATTGGAATGTGGAATATATGAAGATAAGAAAATGGGACATTTTTTCCAGAAGAAATGGAATACATAAATATTGGCATGCTAGGCATTGGCAACCTGAGATGGATTGGCTTAGGTCACTTTGAATCAGACAATCATATGATCTACTATGCTGGGAATGAAAGAGTGAGGGGAAAATGGGATTGCAATCAGAGTCAGACAAGATATTTTAAGTACAATGTTGTGAGTACAGGATACTATCCATATAAGAAAGATCTGTTAACACCATTGTGATGTTAGTTTAAATGTTAGATTTTCTAGCCATTACTTGAGTCCCCTCTGGTCTGCAGCTACCTTAACTATAGAAACATGGGCTTGCAAATCATCAACAGTGACAGAACTAGGATAAGAGAAAGAGTGCTTCCCATATTGGGAAGCAAGACTTGAGGGAGACTGGAGCAAGACTCTGGTGAGAGCCAGACCAGAGCGAGACCCTGGTGGCAAGGCTTTGGTGATGGTAGTGCTGAGACTGTGGCATTGCTGTGAAGAAACTGTGGCAAGATGTAGCCTTCTTGCACTTGTTCTGGACACAGTTAAAGGTTTTTCTGTTTTTTTCAGATGCTTTAAAGAAAAGCAGACTTATAGCTGCTCTGAGATTAACCTTGCTGGATGATTGAGGAAACCAGAGGCTTCTTGAATTTGTATTGTTGAACTGAAACGACAACTTAATTAATTAAGGAGTATTTTGCTGTTAATCTGGCTTAGGACTGCTGGGCTAAACCTGGACTTGTGAAACAGTCTTTGCCTCTCCCAATCCCAAAACTATTTTCCTAACATACCCCACTCTTGGTACCATAATTGTGAGTAGTCTGTGAATCCACAGTGAAGAGTTAACCTAGTGATTGGTCAAAATGGGTGCAGGAGCATGGGGGTAGTGTGTCCAAGCTAGCAGCTATCTAGTGGCAGCTCTGAATATTATTGAGGGGGAAAGTTCCCTTTTATGAACTGGGCAGAAGTCAGCCCTCACCATCCCTCCATACCATTTGCTCCTTTCACAATCACTATCATTCAAATACATGCACCAAAAACTAGAGCCACAGAAGAGAAAATAAAAGATTTCTACAAGCTTTTGCAGTCTGAAATTGATCGAACATGCAGTGAAGATTCATTAATAATAATTGGTGACTAGAATGCAAAAATTGAGAAGAAGAAGGATTATAAAGTGGAAAATATGGACTTGGACAAAGAAAGAATTCTGTACAATGATTTATTTCAAATACTATCTATAAAAAACAGTAATGGTGTCTATATCCATGGACCTTACCTGATGGACTACATGGGAATCAGATTGATTACATATTATTCAATCCTTTGGGAAGAAGGTTCAATTCTGAGTGCCAGGAAATTTTACAAACATAAATATTATGGTATTACATGGTTCTACTCATCTATATATTTGTATTTTAATGAGGTCCTCCAAGAAATAGAACTCCTCAATCCACTGCTTCTTGGTTATTGTTTTACTACTTTATATTCATAAGAAATACTATTCACAGTATTGCAATAACTCTCAATTGGGAAAGGAGCCTGCACAGGCCAAACCTACAGTCTTCTCTCCTCCTCAGTCTCTTCAATTCAAAATTTTGGGGCAGAGCAACAGAATGGTTTTAGTGGTATAAATGACACATGCTAGAATAGATAGCTTAGAGCAGAAATTACTCACCATCTATAAGAAGTAAATAGAGTCTCTTAATACAAAGAAAAATGAAAAGAACACAGACATAGTAATTCAAGACTTAATGTCCACATCATGTTTAGTGAAACAGGATATTACACTGTTGGACATTGTATGAGAAACATATTATGCATAGTTCTTGGATTACAAGAGAGCTCTGTTCTAAACCTGTTTTTAAGAGAAATTTGTAAGTAAGCCAGAAGAGTCAAATATAGATTTTATATAATAGCTGTTAGTCAAATTTCTGCCTTAGTAAATAATTCACAATGTAGCTTTCTATGCACTCAATACATTAAAGAAACCCTTCCAGATACATTAAAACATCTTTGACATAATAATACAATAATAATCATGATGATGATGTTTTTATGTACCTCCAAAGTTAATATCCTATTATTGTTATGAACAATTGTTATTCTGCACCAGGGAGCTGGAAGCGACCCGTAGTTGACCTTCCAGTGGGTCACACCACATTCCCTCCACCACAGGAGCTCTGGTGGACTAAAAGATAAAGAGTTATGTTGTCAATCCAAAGGCAGGCAGTTCAAATCTACCAGTTGCTCTGTGGCATGAAAGTGGGCAAACTCCCCCTGTGTAATCGATGGCCTTTGAAAACCAGCTGGAAGGTCAGCTAGGATTCTGTTTCGACTCAATGGCAATGAGTTTTTTGAAAGGATGTTCAGGTAAACTGTAGACTCAACCACTGAATGGAAAGAAATTTCAGAGGTAAAGATGACCGTTTGATATTTTACACATATTTCTTATTTTTTTTTAACCTTTTGTTGTAAGGACTAGATTTACAACTTGGCTTTTCAACTTATCTTATCACTTAGATACTATTTTGAGTAAATCCATGACAAGTAATTTTTACCCTGTTGAGTGTGTCCAAGGCATCTGTGGCTGCCACCAGCGCAGGCTCTGCCTTCAGTAAGTCAGCCTCACACTCTTTCTGCTTCTGGGACACTTCTGTCTGAATGGCTGCCACCTAGTTAAAGTGGGAAAAAAGCACACAAACCCACAAACACAAATTATCGTCTCAGGTACATGCTATACTGAGGCACACAGGCTAACTCAGAATCACTGCTAAATAATTAATTTACCTGTATTTTAAGCTAGTGAGGAATTTGTAGTAAAGACTAATTTTCCTTCTGACTTAGTATTTATACAAAACTTTTGTCTATGCATAAAATGCACAGTGACAACATCTCAAATCAAAGTGACTGAGCTATCAAAATGCCTTAAGGAAACCCTTGACGAATTAATTATATTGTACTACTAATAAAAAATAACTCCATTGGTGTACTGTTACACCAAGCTCAAAGGTTCGAATCTACTAACTGCTGTGAGGGACACAGCTCCATAAAGATTTACAACCTTAGAAACCTGATGAAGGGGTCCTGCAAGTTGAAATCAACTTGATGGCAATGGGTTACATATGGATGAATGACAAAAACTTTGTTGTGTTGTTGCTATTGTTGGGTCAGATCCAATTCACAGTTCTCAGAGGCTGTAAATCACACAGGAGGAGATTGTTCACCTTTCACCCATAGAGCAGCAGGTGGATTTGAACCTAGTGTCTTTAGGTGAGTAGCACAATTCCTTACCACTCAATCACCAGAGCTCCCGGACAAAAACCTAAGGAAAAGTTTAAATGTCTTGCATTATAAGATGCTAAGTATTGGAACTAACTACAATTAGCTACAATATCCCTAGTACCATGACCCCTTCTAAACCCAGCCTACACTTCAGGCAGTTCTCTGCCGATGTACTGTTCCAGTCATCCAATCTTGCTTGCATGTGATATTAATGATATGTTCAATAATTTCGACATTCTGTAGGGTCACCTTTCTTTGGAATGGGAACAAATATAGATCTCTTCCAATCAGTTGGCCAGGTGGTTGACCTCCAGATTTCTTGGCACAACTTGGTGAACTAATGTTAGATGAATCTTGGCTGGAAGCAGGGAGTTATAGAGAAATGTCTACCTGTATTTCATTGATTATGTAAAGGCATTTGACTGTGTGGATCACAAAAAAAAACTATGGCTAACTCTGAGAAGAATGGGAATCCTAGAACACTTGATCGTGCTTATGCAAAACCTATACTTGGACCAGGGCGCAGTCTTTAGAACAGAGCAAGGGAATACTACATGGTTCAAAATTGGGAAGGGTGTACATCAGGGATGTGTCCTGTCTCCATACTTTTCCAATCTATATGCAGAACAGAATTATCTGAGGTGTTGGGCTCTATGGGTAGAAATGTGGCATCAGGATTGGAGGAAGACTCATCAACCACCTGTGTTATGCAATGATACAACCCTGCTTGCTGAAACTGAGGAGGACCTGAAGTGCTTGCTGCAGAAGTTCAAGGACTGCAGCCTTTGATATAGATTGAAGTTCAACATCAAGAAGACAAAGATTCTTACCACTGGGCCGATTGGCAGTATTGTGATGAATAGTGAAGAGACTGAGATTGCAAAAAGTTTTAGTTTGCTTGGATCCACAATCAACACTCTTGGCACCAGCATCCGGGAAATTAAAAGACATATTGAGTTGGGAAAGTGTGCTGTCAGAGATCTTTCCAGAATATTGAAGAGCAATGATGTCAGTCTACAGACTAAGGTGCTCCTGATACTAGTCATCATTTGCTATGCATCAGAGAGCTGGACAATGACTAGGGACGATAGGAGAATTGATTTCTTTGAGCTCTGATATTGGAGAAGAGTATTGAATATACCAAGGACTGTTAAGAGAATGAACAGGTTCATTCTGGAGAGGGTTAAACGAGGCTGATCCTGGGAGGCAAGGATTCTGAAGCTTTATCGAACATACTTTGGGCATGTTATAAGGACGGACCAGTTCTTGGAGAGGGATGTAATGCTTGGGAAGGTGAAGGGACAGTGCAGAAGAGGAAGACCCTTGATGAGATGGATTGATTCAGTGACTGGGGTATTGGGGGTAAGTGTGTCAGAGACAATAAAATTGGCACAGGACAGAGCAGGATTTAGGGCTGTTGTACACAGGGTCACTATAAGTTGCAGGTGACTCAATGGCAAATAACAACATGTGTTGAAACTGACTTGATGGTAGTGAGTTTGTTACTTATAAATACCATCATGTTACTTATAAAGACAATTATTCTTATAGTAGGAGGCTAACTGAGCAAGATACATAAAACTGCTCAAAAGAGGAAAGGAAAGGGGGAAAGGAGGGGCAGAAAGAGAGGAAGGGGTAAAAAAAAAATCACTGGCAAAGCAGAGGTTGGTGGGTGGACGGGTGTGAAGGATTGGGAAACGTCCAATGGGGACTTGCAAAAATGAAGTGATAATAGGCATAGGACAATGGTAATTTATGATATTAAATACAACATATATGAATAATTGTATAGAACATAAAGTGCATGAAAGAAACACAACATATACTAATGATTGTATAAAACACAAAGTTCATGTACAAAACATGATGTCTCTGAATGACATATGCAAACCAATTCTTTTTTTTTTAAAAAAAGAGAGATGTCTGTTCTTCAATTTTCTTTTTTATTAAGCTCTGAGCAAGTGAAATTCAGGCATACTCAGTAACCTAGTCCACAAGACATTCTTGCTCCAATTCTCTGAGTTGAGCTAGCATTTGCAAATGTGAAGTTCTGCTGTTTTGCCAGTTTGAAAATACTGTTTTCTTCTGCAATCATGGACTGCATGTTGAACCATAGACAGAAATATTCTAAAGATTAATTTCAGTTTCCTCTAAGGACCTGGTAAGGAACTCTGGAAGCCAGGCTTATCTTCAGAAATGGAACAACCATTCCAGGGGCCACTGGACTACTGGGGATTCAATGACATTATCTTCAAGGTTCCAGCAAATACTGGCACGATCCATATACTATGGCCAGAGGGAAACCACGTTGGTAAAATAGAACCCAAAACTCCAAGGAAAAACAAGGGAGTTTTTATCCTTCACCTCTCAGGGTGCTCAAAGAATTCAAATTGCCAAGAGGAATACATTTAATCCTCGACAAACATAAATCTCAGAGCTGTGGCTCTGGGCACCAGCGCTCTAGTCACCATGGGGGACAGCTCCTGCAGAGACAGTGACTGCAGAATAGCACACGTGAACAAAAGTGCATTTCTTCAGAAGTGTTTGGAAGGAACAGGTTTAACTATACCATAAAATTAAACACTGCTCACAACAAATTATGTTGTCTACTACAGCTTTATTAGCAGTAATTATTCCTCTCCTGATTAACCATTATTTTGCTGTATATTGTACTTTCTTTGAACATAATTGGTTCCGTGTTCTCCTGCCAATACAGACACACTTACTGTTAATGTAAATAAGAAAACTCTTTGCTCTCACAAAGAACTCCCAAAACCACAACCCTCAAGACTGCTGGGAATGGACCATGAAAATTCCAAGACAGTTGGGGAGACAGACCATCGTTACAGGGTACAGACACTGGGAAGATGGGAGAGATGGGATGCTGTGAGGAGTGAGTTGTTGCCTGGGTGTATTTGGTTTTTGGGTTTTTTTTATAATGAATATAATGCTATTTGTTGTAATTTATACTGCTCTAAAATTACCTTAAATTGGACTCAAGGTCATAGTTTTTTGAACTAGGAAAAAGAGTACTTTGTTTATGTAGTCTTCTTCCGGGACTGGAAAATGCTCTTTGTCTCATTTTGACGAGATTACTGTTAATGGAGCATTATTCCTTTAAGTAATTTTTAGAAACAGAACTATCATAGTTATTAAATAAATAAAACTCACAAATACAAACATTATACAGATATAAACTCCTCAAAGGAATGTTGTTAGGTGCCATTGAGTCAATAATGACACGTAGAGACCCTGAGAACAGATGTGAACTTTGCCCTATGCAGTAGCAGTACTCTTTTTGACAAGCTCATTGTTGGTTTCTGTGTCACCCATCTGTTGAGGGTCCTCTCTCTTTCTCTGACCATTGACCTTTGCCAGCATGTCTTTTTCCAAGGATTGGGCCCTCTTGACGGCATGCCCAAAGTAGATGAGATAATAAAGTTCACCATCCTTGTCTCTAAGGAGCTTAAGGACTGGGCCCTCTTGACGGCATGCCCAAAGTAGATGAGATAATAAAGTTCACCATCCTTGTCTCTAAGGAGCTTACTGGTTACACTTCCTCCAAGACAGACTTGTTGGTTCTTTTAGGCTGATCAATTTTCTTTCTTGTTGCCAACAGTTTTCTTCATAACGTGCAAAAGTCCTGTTGTTGTGTTCTGTCAAACAGACTCTGACCTAGAGTGTCTCTGTATGGCAGAGTAGATCTGTCCCAGGGGGTTTCTGAGGCTAGAAATCTTTATGGAAGCAGATTGTCATGTCCTTCTCCCACAGATCAACTAGTGGGTTTTGACTGTTGACCTTTCTGTTAGCATTTGTGCTCTTAACCATTGTGACTTCAAGAAATTTCAAAACTCAAAACCTCATTGCCATCCAATTGGAACAGACTCATAGCCGACCTTCCTGTGGGTTTACCAGGGCTGTAAATCACACAGGAGCACACTGTCTTTGTGGAGCTGCCAGTGGATTCCAACCCCCAGAAGGGAGAGGCCTTTGCCAAGCAGTGCAACTCCCTATGGATTACACCACGGGAGCTCCCTGCTGGCTACATATTTCCCACAAGCCTAAATTAGTGCCTGGCAGAAAATAGAGGTGTTTCAGTTAGAATTTGTTGCTTGTATTTATACTAAGCCTTGTGGATAAAATGAATGTTTTAGTGAGCATTTGCATTTTCTGGTATGTTTTAGATATTAAAATAATAGTCTTTCTTTTTGTTATGTTTGAAGAGCTTCCTGAAAAAATACATGAGCTCTTATTTGCTGGGTCCTTTTCCCCCTCCTTTATGGAGATAATTTTAACTTAGGAATTCACAAGTAAAAAATGCAAAATATCACTAGATTGTCTGTTAAATTTTAAGATCTCTAAAAGGCATCTGTGGACATGAGTTATGGTTCAATAATCACTAGAATATCACACATTAAAGCTAATACCTAAAAAATACTTCCTGTGTGGAATTGGCTAGTAACCACATCATGTATGATATTCTAATATGATTGTATATTTTCAAGGGTATTCTCTATTTAGCTAAAACTTAATGTAGACCCTTATTGCCAGAACTCAGGATAATGTGCCAAATGGCTATGTGAAACACGCTTTGTCTTCAATTTCTAGAAATGCCCACTACCTTATTTTTTAACTGTTTCTAAAAATCTTTGTTTTCAATATATTTTTAATATGTTCTGTGATGAGTTGCAATCCATTTGAATATATATATATGTAATTTTTTTTTCAACTCAACTCGATTCTATGGAGTTGTGCTATCAAACCCAAAGTAGAAAGACTGAATCCAACAGCTGCTCCACAGGAGAAAGATGGGCAATTTGCAGTCTCTGAAAACCTACTGTAGCGTCAACTATGAATTGGTTCTGACTGGATGGAAAATAACTGAGTTTAGTTGAGATATGTGTATGGTCATGAGGATGGCACAGAATAAGGCAAGATTTTTATCTGTTGTTCATGGGATTGCTATGATTCATAGTCAACTCAGAAGCACATAACAACCTATATGGATAAGCATTATTCACTCATTCATCACCACTGAGTCAAAACTATTGACCTTCCAGTAGGTTCAAATCCACCAGCAGTTTGAATATACCAACGAGTTCCCAGAAGAAAGATGGGCAGTCCTCTCTTGTGTAATTTACTGCCTCTCAAAACTCACTGGAGTGTCAGCTATTAGTTGATTCTGATACAATGGCAATGTATTTGAGTTTTGAGTATATAGAAATGAAGATCTGTTGGCCTAGTGCATTCCATGTTGCGTTGCAAACCCAAAGGTAAGTTGTTCAAAGCCACCAACTTCTCTGAGGGAAAATGATGGGCTGCCTCCTCTTAAAGATTTATAGCACCAGAAAACTAATACAGGGCTGCTATCTGGTGGTCTAATGGTAAGAAGCTGTGCTGCAATCCCAAAGGCATGGGGTTGCATCATCTGCTCCATGGGAGAAAGAGTAGCAATTTACTCTTATGCAATTTGCTGCCTCTAAAAACCTGCTGGAGGGTTAGCTAGGATCAGCTGTGTCTTGATAGTACACAGCAACAACATGCATCAAGAATCAGCTCAGTGGTAGTGCTTATATATGGATGAATGACAAGCACAGGAAAAGGCAAACACCTTCCAGAAGAAAATGCAAGGATAGCGGGTCCTAATCTACAACTCTGAGAGTGTTAGAAATTCGGGGTTTTGCTAACAAGGCACTTTTTCGGGAGCTCTGGTGGCATACTGAGTGTCCAAAACCTAGTTTTTTGTTAACTAAGCATCTTATATGGAGTTCTGGCAGCACTCTCTCTCTCTCTTTGTGTTGCTGCTAAGTCAAAGGTTATGCCTCGAGCAATTCAAATCTACGAGCAACTCTGCACGAGATAAACTGGCAATCTCTGCCCATGTGATTTATAGTCCCAGAAATCCAAGAGAAGGCTAACTCGGAGTTAGCTCTGAATTGACAGCAATGAGTGAGTGAGGGAGGCATTCCTGGTCTAAAATGAAAACTTTCACCTGTAACTGACTCATAGCTGACCCTTCAGTGGGCTTTCAGATGCAGTTAATCATACAGGAGGAGATTGCTCAACCTTTTCTAGTGGAGCAGCTGGAGGATTCAAACTGGGTATCTTTGGGATTGCAGCGCAGCTTCTTGCTCCTAGGCCACCAGAGTGCTCTACTTTCACCTGAGGAATATACATAAATTTAATATAAAAAATAATTTGATGGGTAGAGGGAGGGGTGGGTTAAGAAAACAGAAAAGATCCAGTGTGGAAAACAATGTATACGAACTATGTAAGTAAACTAGTATAAAATAAAAATTTTATTTAAAAAAATTATTAATTCTGTTTATTATACACTTTGGGGAAATAAGAAGGTACTAAAAATATGTTTTTCATTTCTAGCTGAAGATTTACTAAAAGAAGAGAAAAGCAGTTATATTTCTTTTAGAATTGCTGAAAACTTGTGCATGAAAAAAAAATGCAGAATCCATACAATTTTGAAAGCAATTGTTCCCAACAATATGAAACAATATGGAATGCAAGGGCTTTGGCAGAATTCAAAAGAGCAAATTTAGCTTAGGGCTTAATAATAAACTTCTCAAGTTGTATGATTAAAATGCAAAATTTGAAAACCATCTTGCAAAGTGATGGAATGGGCTTTGTTAACAATTGAGTTGTTCAATTTGTCTAAAAACTAAAAACCTTTAGAAACCTCAGAGGTGACTTCGTGACCTTTACTGTATTACAAATAGGCCTGATGTTCAAGATCCACATCCATTATATGCTTGAATGAGCTCAGTATTTATTGTTCTTTCATATCATTAAAAGAGCTAAAAGGTTGGGAAAATGCATAATGTAAAGAAAGGTCAAGTGGTAATCATGGTGTGAAATGCTGTTACATGTGTAACTATAATAATTCTTTAGATTTTATGCTCCCTGGAGAGGAAGTTGTTCAAAATTGTTCACCTACAAAGGTTTATTTTGTGCTAAATATAGCTCAGCACCTCTAAATGGTGGAATTAGCCTGACCTTTTGCTCTTCAGCGTCAGCGATGGCCTTTTCCCGGCTCACTTTCTCCGTCTGGAGCCCTATCTTTGTGATCAGAGCCTCAGCATCGAGGTTTCGCAGTTGGAGCTCAGCTTCTTGGGAAGCCAGTCTGGCTTTGAGATCTTCCACCTAAACGAAAAGTCATCATTTACAAGGAGCCAACATTGAGAAAAATAATTATCAGAAAAAGTTTCATTTCCATGTATCAATACTGCATTTCAGGATCTCTAAATTCATGTATTTGTTTCTACTCTGATTTTCGGTCAATTCTATTTGCAAAAATGAAACCCATTTCCTCCCTCTCCTGCCCAGAGATGAAAGAAGTAAACAGTTTTTTTCAATGGTTTTGTAGGAAACAGAATTGCTTGGTATCAAGACCAACTAGATTTCCCCCCCCCCCCCTTCTCCACTCAATGCTGTCTGGTCAGAGAAATGTCAATAAAAGTCTCTCCCCACCATCCATCACGCCAGGCCCATCTGCCTTGTTCTGGAGCTCAGACGACTGAGGCAGCAGGTGCTCCAGAAGACCTGTTTGGTAATAATACACACAAAAATTGCTGTGGACTTTAAATGAGTCGTAAAAGATTACTATGAGTCAGAATTGGCTAGGTGGCAGGAGCTTAGTTTTTTGCTTTTTATTTTAGACAAGTTGAGGGCTCAGGTTCATTGCGTCGAGCTGGAAGAGACCCACTGATCCCCTGGCAAGTTTCTGAGGCTGTAAATCACACAGGAGATTAGTCCTCATTCTTCTGTGAAGCCGTTGGTGAATTTGGACCTCCAGAGAGGCACAGTAGCAGGGTTAGCAGCACAGTTTCCTATGGACTATGTCGTCAGAGCTTCTTGGAGGGTGTTCTGCAAACTTCTGGCCTATTTGCAAAATATTCCATCACTTATTTTGATCAAGGGTCCTTGGATGGTGCAAAAAAAAATCAATACTCTTGGTTGCTAAATTAAAGGTGAGTGGTTTGAATCTATCGAGAGGCACCTCCAATGAAAGGTCTACTTCTCAAATACCTGCATTAGAAACCCAGTGGAACACAGTTCTACTTGGATGCACATGGGGTCATGAGTAGGATCAACTGGTGACAACTGGTTGGTTAAATGATTATATGGACCAAAATGCTTAGTCAGATCCTGTTTCTTCCAATTAAACATAAAGCCATCCTCTTGATTTTCTTTTCAATTATTATTGCTTTTGTCTCACAAAAAAAAATAAAAATTTGAACTTAAGACCTGTGCAGATAACCAAACATTCAACTTATCTACGAAGACAAGCAAGTGCATATGGTCTATAACATATTTGTAGGGCATGGCCCAAACTCCAGGCATGGTCATGGATGTGGACTCCTCCTTTGGGCCCACCATTAACTCACTTCACTCACATTGTGTGGGGTTTAGTCTTTCCGAGGAAAAACAGTGATTCTCTCTATCACTGTTTATTCCAGATCTCACTGGGTTTAAGATCACTGTTTTGACATAAATGCACATCAGAGATAACGCTATGGACCAAAATCCCACTACTGCCTGTGAGCCTCTCGTAACCCCTATTTCAATATAGTTTATCTACACAATACCCAGATGGCGTGATTATTACCATTATAGTTCCTTGTACTATTATGGTTTATGTTTAGAGTGATTTTAACCTTTCTATGAACTAAACGTAATGTTAAAGATTGATACTTGCTTCATTTTTTCCCCCCAGTCACATGAAACTAGTATCACATTAGGCTACAGTCAAGAGTCATTACAGAGACTAGGAAGAAAGTGTTCATTTCAAGCCCTAATTTCCTTTTCGAAGGAAGTTCTTAATGCTGAATATTGACAGTGACTCAAGCCCTACTTGTGAGGGCTGATCTATGAAGAAAGGTCACTAAGGCCATCTGTGGTGATCTAAGCTTTGTCTAAAGAGGGGTTACTTAGCTATAAAAGGGTTTACAGCTCGCTGTAATGAGTATACATCAGTAAGGCTGAGACACACATATTTCCAGAGGGTGTAGAAATCCAGCTCTACAGAATTGCTGAAGGCAAATCCATAGGCAACACATTTTAAGAAATAATTTGTTCCCCACACAACCTGATCTTATACTCTAAGGCTCCCTTCTAATTCTTTACATAGGAATTCATGATTCTTCTTCATAAAAATTTAATTTTTAAGCCACTCAAGGAATTACTAGTTATTCCAACCACTCTTTTGACATTATTAGCAGCAATGTATGCACAGATTGGGGTGGGTGAGGGGCAAGGCAGTGGTGGTCCAGTGGTAGAAGTCTCACTTTTCTAGGTCAAAAAAATATGGAAAGGTGCCTCCATACGCGCCAGTAGCCATGTCTTGGCAAAGATGGGTCGTTCAGCTTTTACTGCGGGGGTGTGTGTGTGTGTGTGTCCAAATCCAGCTCCCTGGAAAGCATGATGGTAGCACTCTGAGAAGACCTCTACATTTCTGGCCTTAAAAGGACCATGAGTGAGGATTCTTACTCATGCTTTAGGGCTTGTTTGGCTCCTTCTTTGAAATCTCCATATGCTCTCCTTCCACTCTACCAGTGACAGGGGGACAGTATGGCACCACTGACAGTGTGAGGGCTGGAAACAGTTGTCACTGAGCTAATTCCATCTCACAGCAACCTTGCATATGTAGAATTGTGTTCTGCAGGGTTTACAATGGTTGCTCTTTGGAAATCAGACTCCCAGGCCTTTCATCCAGAGCACCTCTGGGCAGACTCAAATAATTCGCTTAGTAGGTGAGTATAATAACCATTTGTACTCTCAGCGACCCACATGGGTGATAAGAATAATGTAATATGGTTCAAGCCCCCTCCTGATGAGCTCTGTGGCTTTAAACTCTTATTCACACACTTCCTTACTCATTGCCATCGAGTTGGAATTGACACATCGCTGATTCTCCATTGAGCTACCAAGATTGTAAACTACACGAGAGGAGATTGTCCATCTTTCTTTGCAGAATTGCTGGTGGATTCATATCATCAGAGAAGCACGATCTTTGCATAAGCAGCACAACTTCCTATGGACTGGGCCACTTGGACTCCCTGTAAATGTTTTAAACCACTTGAAAAAGCCATTTGGTTTTTAATAGTGAAATTAAGTAATACGTATGCAGAAAAAGCTGTTGGTAGTGTCATAGTGAAAAAATTTGGTTGCCAATTAAAAGGCCGGTGGTTTGAACCCACTAGCTGCTGTGTAGGAAAAAGATAAAGCACTCAGTCTATTTCTATAAAGATTTAGAGCCTTGGAAACTCTTTGTTGTTGTGTATCACAAAGTCACAACCGACTCATAGGTGATGCTCTGGCAGGTTTTCAGAGGCAGTAAACTGCATGGGAGGAGACTGCTGATCTAAGCAGCTGATGGATTCGAACCACATGCCTTCAGGATTGTAGTGCAGCTTCTTACCATTAGGCCACCAAAGGTCCCATAGAGCAGAGCTAACCTGTCCTACAACATGGGTATGAGTCAGAACTGACTCGATGGCGGTGTTTAGTTTGTTTTTTAGGCATACAGACCTACATGATAGGCAGTACTGTGTATTAATTCTCTCCTGATTTAATCTTGCAGGTGAGCAGTACTATCCTCTAGGACGAGGGTCTTGCCTCTAAGGATTAAGGTAACATTGCTCACTTTCCTCTAAAACAGTTAGTAGGTAAAAGAAATAGAGACAGTGCCATCAAGAAAAACTGGCCTACCCTGTGGTTCTGGTAGCATAGCAAACTGCACCATGGTCTTTAATCAGGAGACTCTGAAGTTTCCTTGAGTTTGAGAAACTAAGGCCAAAAGGGACTGTAGTTCCACCAAAAGGTGGCAAAATGTTGAAGACAAGCTCTGAGCACCAAAGGGATCATAGAGGGAATTGGCTGTGTCTACTCCCATCAGCACCTTCTCTCCACACCTCCCAGTACTGAGGCAGCCTGAGGTGAGAGGGCATCTCCTAACCAACTGGAGAGAGTAATTGGTCATCCTCAGTCCAGCCCTAGAAACAGCGCAGTGTGTGCTGTGTGATACAGAGCTGCACATTTCTGCACTTGTTGTTAGGTGCTGTCAAGTCAATCACAGTGCCCAGTGACCGCACCCACATGATACATGCTTCATGCACTTTTACAGGTAATCTTTATGGGAGCAGATCATCAACTCTTTCTAGGCAGCTTATAAGTTCTTGTTAGCTATCATCAACACAATTTCAAATTATAGCGATTTCTTACACAACTAAATGAAATGCTGATCAGCGCTGTACCAGATCAATTGCGGCTTAGACTATTGGGACCCACAGGATTTTCTCAGGCTGATATTTGCCAGGTCTTTATTCCGAGTCTATCTTTGTTTGGGGGCTCCTTTAACATCTGTGCAGCATCGTAGCAACATGCAACCTGCCACCCATGGATGGTGGTCAAATGTAAGGTTCACTGGCCAGCAATCAAAGCCAGGCCTTTTGCATGTGCAGTAAGAATTACTGGCTAACCACCAACCATTCAGGCATCTTTCAGAAATGAACTGAACTGAACGGGGGTGGTCTTTTCTAGTTAAAGACCGTAGATTTCATCAGTAATAATATTCCAGACATACCTGAGAGGCTGTGGTTTTTAGCTTCTGGATCCCATTCACCAAGTGCTCTCTCTTCTGGGAGACCTCATTTTGCTTCTTCTCCAACAGGTTCTTAAAGAGTGATATTTGTTCTAGAAAACTCTTTGGGGTGGTATAGTTGTGTCTTCTTTCATTCTGGTAATACCTGGTACTCATTTCATTCACGCTAGTGTGAACATGCGCCATGAAAAGACTAATGGCCTCTCTGTTCAGTGGCTGAAAACACAAAACATCACAATTCATATGGAATACTTACAGGTTAGAAGAAAATAGAATTGAAAAATAACAGAGGCAAATTAACAAAATACACAGTAATATTTTTTTACCCTATGGTAAGAACAAATTGCAGTAGGGTCCAGGAAAATGAATCTGTGTTTAAGAGAGGTCCACAAGCTTGTTGGACAGCTAACATTAAAGTTTCTCCTTCAATCTTTACTAACAAGTTGCTTGCCAAATAAAGGGAAGAATTCTTATGTACTCCATTTACCAAAGCCAAAACTAGGATATAAAACAAGAATAACTAATCACAATTAGATTTTTTTTCTTTCAAGAATGAGGAAGAGAAAAATGGAGAAATCAAGGCACAAATTGCCCTGAAAAGTATATTTTTGTATTCCTTCCTAACTAAAAATTTTAGGGGAACAGATCTAAAACCCTTGCAAAGTCACTGGAAAATAAAGAAGAGCAGAAATGTATAGATACAATTTTATGGGAATTCATAGAAAAATAATTTGTATGGTAGAGATAAAAAGTCAGTTTCTAGGAGAAAAACAACATGCTCGTTTCTATTTTGTAACATTAAAACAAAATGCAACATAAAATCCTCCTTTGAAGTTTACTGGAAAATTCTCCACCCTCCATTATTTCCATTTTGTCCTCTATGACTTCTGAAGTAGTTAACTTTTTAATTTGTGGAGTCACATCTCCCTCATTTTAATGATTATTTATTGCATTCTGTACAAGATGGACCAGGTTCAATTAATCAAGGGAAGCCTAAAAATCAATTAATATGAATTAAATGAGCTACACTAACTCTTAGGAAAGTCACACATAATTTACCAAAGTGTTGTCAATAATGCACAGACATCTTTGGGAAAATTGCTCACAAGTGGCTGGCGGTGCAGTTAAACGTTTCAAACCGGCACCATTAATATCACAGCCAGAGGTGCAGGACAGACAGGCCAGTTCTCGGTGGTGAAAAAAACGGCTCCTGAGCCACATAGTTGAAAACCTAGCTTTCCAACATGGTGAAAAATTCCCGTGTTTAAAAGATTTGTGTGTATTAAATTTTCTGCATATTAAAAAAATCCTGAAAAAAACACTGAACTATATATTTTAAAATAAAAACCAAACTTAAAAACAAAAAAAACCCAAACAACCAAACTTTGATCAGAATCCCCAACTGTTTTTTGTTCCAAGCCAACCCAAGATATTAGCAAACAAGGGATACCAAAAAAAAGTCCAAGGAAGTTATATAAAGGTCATATACATTTTCTCCCCTCCGCCTCTTCAATGCAAACATGGGCAGAAATGCACACACCAGCCCTGTTTTTATTTTAGCACCCGGTGAAAGTACACACGTACCTTTCTACAATTTAGACGGATGCTTTTCTTAGCCAAGTGCAACCTCCTTAAAGGAAATGGGGAGAGAGAAATTACCAACAAAAAGCCTGGCCTCTTCCCAATCATGATCCTTATGAGGAGGCTCCTCGGCTGCCCTGAAAAGCTCTCTTTAACAACAGTTTCATTTGTAAATCGGGGATGGAAGAAGTGGCTTCCGGTAGAGCTGGAAGTGGCCCGAGACAACTTGTCTCAATGGGGCAAAATAACTATTGTTATCGGGCTTAACAAAATGGCACAGCATGGGAGACTTGCGGAGCCAGGGAGCAGCTGGTTGTAATTCACACTGTTTTTCAGAAAACTCTAATCGTTCCAGCACAGACCTCTTTGATGACTGGTCTTCCCTGCATTCTCAATTTGTCACTTTCTCTTATGATAAGGTCAGTAGTGACAGCACTTCCTGACATTAACAGCTGTGGCTTTTAAAAGGGTCATTGTAGAACTACTAATTGCAGTAATTTCATTAGCATGAATTATTTATTCTGCCATTCATTTATCTCCAGTTTTCTTTTGGTGGGGGGGTGGGGGGTGGGGGGAGCTGGGGAGACACTGCTGGGCTGCAGCAGAGATGGCAAAGCAATGCTTTATTTTTTCACTGGGCGTCCTTTCAGAGAGGAGAGCAAAGAGCATCAGTCTTGCTAGATCTGGCCTCTGAATGAAAACCAGTTGATGCCATTTTGGAGTCATTTAGCAGCCAATCATGGTCAAGGCAAAAATAAAAATGAGCAAACTGCCAGTAGCAAATGGTGATAAATCCAAGGTTTCCCCACTAAGATGCTTTAGAAAACAGTGCTGCACCCAATGTATAAACAAATGCATAGATGCAACTGCTTTCTTTCCACATTAAGGAAAAAGTGTTTAATTCCTACTCTCTTGATTGGTTCACTGTAAACATGAAAATATAAACAAACCCTGCTAGCTGGCATGACAGTTCTCGCGCGGGGGCTGTCACCACTACACCAAGCACTCTTGGCCACCTGTTTATGAAAGCAAGTGCACAGGAGGTGTGCTCAGAAGAGGCCAGACAAGCAGAACCTCATAAGAGCCAGATACTAGAGGGTGGCACCATCCAAACATTTTAAGTACTATTTGGGATTTTATGTTACAAAGACCACCAACCATTACACTGGTCTATACTTCTAATTTTGGACTTTCAGAGGGATACTCTTACAGAAAGAGGGCAGGACTGGCAGGTAGTGGTTGTTATGTACCATCTAGTTGGAACTAACTCATAGTTGACTCTCCAGTGGGTTTTCAGAGGCAGTAAATCATGGGAGGAGATTGTCCATCCTTCTCCTGCAGAGTTGCTAATGGATCCAAACAGTGTTGGCAGCTCAACTCCTCACCACTAGACCATAAGAGCTCCAGGCCAGGAAGGTCAGGGAAAGAGAAGAATTGCGTTTTTTCTCCAAAAATTTACCCTAAGGTGATTTTTGTTACATACCTACATCCTGAAACATTTTCTTATGCATACTTTCAATAATTTGAGCTATAAAAAAACCCCCCCCACACACAACAAAAAAACCCAGGAGTTGGCATTGAATTGTTCCTGGTGACTCCTGAGTTTCTGAGTGGAATTCTGAACTCTACAGGGTTTTCAAGTGGCTGAATTTTCAGTAGATCTTTCTTTCAAGTCACTTCTGAGTGTACCTGAATCTTCAACCTTTCTCTTAGTATATACTTTACTAATCATTTGCACACCTGAAAACTCCAACAGTCTATTTGTTCTCTCAGATCCTTTTGGTGTTAATGAGGTTGTTTATAAAATAAATAAGAATTCAATGGCTAAAATGAACAGTATTATAAGTTTAGAACCTCATCTAAGCTTATTAAAATGCCAAGATTTCCTTATAGAAAAAGATAATGGAGACAGTTTGGGACACAGGGTTTAAGGCACAGGACGTGGATTAGATTTCTAGCTGTGTGAAATGAGGCATGTTACTTAATTCCCAGTGTGAGTGCAGGACCAAATTATCAAGGATTAGGGTTTGTTATTCCTTTTTGTCCTTCTCACACTTTTATTAGATTGCACACAGTCATTCATATGCATTGTGCTTCATGCATGTTCATTGTGTTTTATATGATCTTTCATTTACTCCGTGTTTTGTTCATGTACATTGTACTTTGTACAATCATTCACATACATTGTATTTTATGTAATTCATTACTACTAATCTAGGGAGCCCTGGTGGTATAGTGGTAAGAAACTATCCTGCAATCCCAAAGCTAGCAGTTCAAGTATACCACCTGCTCCATGGGAGGATGGGCAATCTCCTCCTGTGTGATTACTGCCTCAGAAAACCTACTGCAAGGTCAGCTATGAGTTATTCCCAACTCGATGGTATACAACCACCACCACCACCACCACTACCATCGCCACCTATGCCTAAGAGAGTTCTAAGGGGGAAATTAACAAAAAGATATGACAAGTCCTTATTGAATCCTTCCTAGTCCTTCACTACCACTCCGCACTGTGGCTGTTGTGTGACACTGAAATGGAACTGATCCATAGCTAAACCTCCCGCAGATTTTTAGAGGCAGTAAATCACACAGGAGTAGAATGTCCATCCTTCTCCAGTAGATGTGCTGGTGGACTTTGAACTGTGTGCCTTTGGAATTGCATTGCAGCTTCTTACCACTGTTCTACCAGAGCTCCCTTAGAGAGAGATCTCCAGAGTTACCTAGAGCACCCCCACCCTACAGGCATAGATTGTTATTATGCAATGTCAAAACTGACCCATAAAACCCTTTGGCACTGGTGGGTTTTCAGGGGCAGTTAATTGGGGAGGGAGGAGACTGCCTATCTTTCTGATGGATCTGAGTATCTGGAGGATTCAAACTGCTTGCGTTTGGGTTGGCAGTGCAACTCCTTACTCACTAGGTCACCAGAGCTCCCTGGCATGAGGATCAGAGGTGATAATCAATGCACATTCCAAGGAGGCTAGTGGTGAGAGTAACAGCAGCAGCAGTCTTAGTAAGACTACTATGTTTACACAAGGACAAAGAGTGGCAAGCATCAGATGCAGCACTTAATAGAGATCTAAACTGCCGTCAGTTTTACTTTTGTTTGTCTGGGAAAAGCACTTTGCTGTTTGCTGCTTGTGCCTCTGTGTTTGGGTCTTTAAATTTCAAGATCAAGTACTATGCTGGCAAAAGACACAATGAAACACAAGGTAAAGCAACAGTCTTCCAGACGAGAGCTTCCACTCACCAATGGTTCTCTGACAGAACATTAAAACAAAGGGACAATTGAAGATGAAGGGTGTGAGGAGGTAAACTGGAGTCCAGCTATGCTGTGTACAGCAAGCCAACAAGGCAGGAGATGATGGAAGCTGGCTCTGCTGAAGCCAGATCCTTTAAAAACCCCACAAAATTCCAGACTGAAGGGAGTGATGGTTGGTTCCATTTGATTCATTAATCTTTCAGCTTTAGGGCATGTCCAAGTTTCCTGGAATCCATTATACATTATGTTTCTTTTGAAATGGAGGAACTATGTGAGTGTTATGGCTAAGGCATTTGGTTAGTAGCCAAAAGGTTGGTGGTTGGAACCTTACCAGCCATTCTATGGGAGAAGTCTGTCCTGTAAACATGTATAC